AGAAGTCGACAGGGACCCAGGACATGACGTTGGGGAGTTGATGCTTGAGGGAAAAGCAGAAGGGCTCAAGTCCGGCGACATATTTCCGGGTGAGGATGGGGTCAAGCTCAATTATCGAGATCTCTTTGGCGAAGATCCTCCTGACCGTCGAGAAGTGCTGGGCGAAGAGGAAGATGACTTGGAGATTGAAGATGTGGAAGAGAACCAAGGGGAAATGGAGCCTGAAGAGAGCGAGGAGGAGGATGCTCAGGACGATCGAAGGCCTCACGCTGCCATGAAGGTTGGAGACTGTGAACCACCTGAGATGACGTCCCTAATCTTTGCAGCAGGTTTGCCTAACAACAAAAGCCAGACCATCAGGAACTTTGTCCAGGACGTCATGCTCTACATTTCCTCCATGGGGTTGCCAATCATGAGATTTCATGCAGATAGAGGAGAGTTCTTCTCGTCAAGCTTCCGGGCATGGCTTCGAGGGCAGGCTGTCCGAGCTACTTGGAGTGAGCCAGGAGCACCTCAGAGTAATGGGAAGGCCGAGGCAACTGTCAATTGGGTGAAGGGTCGTACACGAACTCTCTTGGCAGCTGCTGGCTTGGAGCAACACCTATGGCCAACGGCTGCCGAAACCGCTGCAGCAGAGCAGCGATCAAGAGTGCTGGGTTTCAAGTCCATTCTTGCCGCGCCCTACGGAGCTCGAGTACATGTTCGGAAACGACCGTTTACTGCAAAGGGCCCACGACGGAAGGGAGACTCTCTGGATTCGAAGTGGGTCAGTGGATGGTATGTGGGCTTGAGCGGCCTCTTGGATCACGGTCACCTGGTATATGTACCACCAGGTGAAGGAGAAGCCGGGGGATTCCTTCATACTCTTCATGTCCGAGCAGGTCTTGTCGATCCAGGACCACCTCAAGAAGAGTTAGAAGTTGAGGAGGAGCCAAGGGTAAGGAGGAGGATAAGGGAGAAGGGGCCACCAGCAACTCCAGGTCTCAACGCGATAGGAGAAGTTCGTCGTGAGGATGTTTGTGAAGAAGCACGGGAAATCCTGATGAACTGGTCTTTCGATCGAGCCTTAAACTTCTTGGAAGAGCTGACGGAGGAGGAAGAATTCAGGGATTTCCGGTGTGGAGCATATCGCCACGGAGGAGTAGTGGGTATCACAAAGATGACGAACCAAATACCAGAGGTGGTACAAGTAGCCACTCGAGTGATTCGAGAAGCTGAACCATCGGCTACATTCATAGCCCTTAGCATTCGGCGGGATGTGGGGCGTGTGATGCACCGTGACTCCGCCAACGACTTCCAGACCTACAACTACTCGGTGCTACTTAAGAAGCCACGACGAGGTGGAGAATTGTGGGTAGAACTGGGTCCTGGGGATGTGGTTCGAGGACCAGTAGTACAACGAGAAGTACCTGGAAGTGGCGAGGCGGTCTATGGGCAGTTGCTCAAGAATGATCGAGGCAAGTGCGTGTCATTCTTTCCTGGGCGTCGGCATGAGGTGGAGCAGTGGAAGGGCTCCAGAGCGGTCCTGATCGGGTACACGCCACAATGTTTGGGAAAACTGGACGATGAAGCGATCAAGGCCTTGGAGGAGAATGGCTTTGTTACTCCAGTGACCCAAATGCCTGAATTCTTCCAAGGGGACGCTGAAGAAGTGGATCAAAACCCAACGTCGATCCAGGCGATGAACCTTGGAGATGGTCACTTTGATGACTGCGACGAGCTCTTGGAGGTTGAAGGAAGTTTCGCTAGATTTGAGCCAACACATTGCGAAACTGATCCCAGAGTGAAAAAGGCAGAGCTGTCCTACACGAAGGATGTGGAGGAGATCCTGAGGAACTTGTCTGGCCCACTTGATGTTGTGTATGCCGTGAGCCCGGAAGAGGTGCTGATGAATTTGGATAAGTGGGAGCCCTCAATTCGAAAGGAGGTCAAGGGAATACAGGAGGCGGTTCGTCGTCTTCTACCTCAGACCGAAGAAAGGGCTATGTGGTTTGCAAAGAAAGGGGTGCAGCGACTACCCACCAAGTTCGTCTTCACGGTGAAACCAGGTGACAACCCGAGGCCAGATGATCCATCTACGTGGTTCAAACGAAAAGCACGGCTAGTGGTTTGTGGCAATATGGCATCCAGCAGCGGGGCAGAACTCTATACTGAAGCAGCTCCAGCCGAGGCGGTTCGGGCCTCGCTGGCAATGGCGGCGGAAAAAGGATGGGCAGTGGGCATCTTGGACGTTGTAGCGGCCTTTCTTAGGACGCCGCTTGGTCGAACTGAGCGGGATCCTGTAGTGGTGGTCCAACCTCCGAAGCTGTTGGAAAGGCTGGGGATAACGGTTCCACAAGAACTATGGGGCTTGGTCAGAGCGCTATATGGGCTGCGGGAGTCACCTCGCCTTTGGGGATGCTATCGCGACACAGTCATCAAGGACATGACGGTGGACCTGGAAGAAGAAATTCTGAAGGTCAAGCAAGGACAAGCAGTTTCGAGTTGGTGGACGGTGACAAACGACAAGGGAGAACTGCGTGCTATAATCGTGATCTATGTCGATGATTTTCTGTTGTGCGGGGAGGAGATGGTCATCCGTGCATTGGGAAATGAAATTCAGAAGATCTGGGAGACAACACCTCTGAGTGTCTTAACAAAGAGCCACTCTTTGCGGTTCCTTGGTTTGGAGATCCACTACAATGAGGAGGAGGGTCGTGGTTTTTCGATAAGCCAAGAAAGCTACATCCGAGAGCTGCTGCGCGCTAGGGGTGTTGATGCTACCAGGAGGGATCGGATTCCGATCTCGAAGGAGCAAGCGAGCTTTGGTCCTCTACCTGGAGACGAAGCACCAACCCCTGAGGACACAAAGGCTGCTCAACAGCTTACCGGAGAGGTTTTATGGATCTCCCAGCGCACCAGGCCAGACCTTTCCTATGTGGCATCGCTGATGGCTACATTGACAACACGAGCACCAAAACGAGCACTGGCTGTTGGCAACAAAACCCTGGGATATGTACAGAGGACGATGGACTATCGCATGAAAATCCCAGGCTGTGGCTCGGAGCTCACCCTGTACTGCGATGCTGCATTTGCTCCTGAGGGGGGGAAGTCACATTCAGGCTGGGCGGTTTTATGGGGACAAAGTCCGCTGAGCTGGAAATCCACGAGGCAAGGGATGATCAGCCTAAGCACAGCGGAGTCTGAGCTGATAGCGATGCTTGACGGAGGGGTGGCATTGTTGTCAACGGAAGCCATGCTTGGAGATCTTCAAGTTACCGTTACCAAGAAGAACATCGCCACCGATAGCACTTCAGCCTTGGCAATCGCCGGAGGATCCTCCAGCTGGAGAACACGCCACTTGAAGATCAAAGCGTCATGGCTGTATGAAAACATCCTGGCTGGATCTATCGCGGTCCGACATTGTGCAGGTCGAATCCAAATAGCTGACCTGCTGACTAAAGCATTGTCGGCACAGAGGATTGGCGATCTTCTGTATCTGTGGGGTATTGGCCCTATGCAAGGGAAGGCGAGTGTCGCGATGATTAAGCCGACAAGCACAAGGATTGTGGTTGCGATGATATGTTGCCTGCTCGTGATGTCAGTAGAAGCAACGCCTCCAGACCTACATGATCAAGGACATCGCTTGGCTATGGACTGGGATATGGTGGGTTGGCTACTGGTTCTTTTGTCTATAGCCGGAATAGTGGCAATTTGGGAAGCAGCCAAGTGGCTTACGATGGGGGCAATAGAGTGTGCTCCTGGTGGAGGGGCACGACGCTTGAGAAAGCTCCAGAAGCTAGAAGCTGCAACCAGGAAGGCCATTGAGATGGAAGTCGAGAAGATCCAGTCGAGCACGGGGCTGAGCTCTTCAACCCCACGGACAACATCGATTGCACCACAGCCAACATCGCAACCTTCTCCAGCAGCCACGACAAGAATGCAGGAGGTTCAGACGACACCAAGAAATTCAAGGGAGGGGGAACTAAGAGAAAGAGCATCTCCGGCAACAAGTCTTTCTGGATGGTCAGAATCAGATGCTCTTGGAGATCGATATCAAGTATGCGTGGACACGATCATGCTGATGGTGGTGGAAGAAATCAAGAATGGGCTTCGAGAGGAAGGACTGGCTTTGGCTGGGGCAAAAGAGACTCTAGCAAGGAGGCTGGCTGACATCCTCTATGACAAGCAGTTCCCAAACCGAGAGATCACAACCACCCGGCAGCTCAAGTACATCCTCTATTTGTGGAGGACACGTGAACTGGCATACAAGACTCGACTGAAGTGGACCGACATCAATGCCAGGCATCGAGCTTCGAAGTGGATTGGATACTGGCGAGAAGTATGATGTTGTGAAGCTTCATGAGTTAAGAAGGCTGTATGAATCTGGCGATTATACAGAGGAGGAGTGTGGGAATATCATTCCGCTTCTGGCCAGGCCTACATCTTCGACAACCCCGCGATCTTCACGACTCAAGGGAGGGCTACGAAACATGCCCCTTGAGCCGTCACGATGTGTAAAGTTCAGACATTGTATAGCAAAGCACCAGTTCACGACAGACCTGTACAAGACATATCACCCGATGTTGTGTGCTGAGAGTTAAAACAATTCGCTTCGCTGCCGGCAATGGTTTCGCTGGAAGGCCCGATGCAGAGGCCCAATTCTGGGGATCAGGGGCAGCAACAAACCTAAACCCTAAACCCCCTAAACCCCCTAAACCCCCTAAACCCCCTAAACCCCCTAAACCCCCTAAACCCCCTAAACCCCCTAAACCCCCTAAACCCTAAACCCCCTAAACCCTAAACCCGAAACCCTAAACCCCCTAAACCCCCTAAACCCTAAACCCTAAACCCTAAACCCTAAACCTTGTTCAAGGAGTCCAGGTGGGGTCGTTGCATCGACTTGGGGGACG